CCAAGATCAACTTAAGAGCTCGTCACACTTTACACCTAAGGCAGCGAAGAGTCCGGAAAATTAGGAGAGGGGGTCACTGATATGTACGAGGTGGGCATCTATAAAACAATATCCATGTTTTTGACTACCAAAACTGTTCGACTTCTGACTAGCCGAGCTTGCTAAATGATAATGGTTAAGGTTGAGTTAGTGATTAAAAGAGCTTTCAGTCTGACCATAGTACGGGCTCACAGGGCGGTTGTTCAATATTTGTTGCCAAAAGTATGAGTCTATTGACTGTGGGATCCGTGGCTATCTTAATTTTTTTTTATTCAGTTTATCTTTATGAGCCTTTTATTTATTCTGAAGTAAAAAAATACAAGAGCAATTGTTCAAGGCAAGGTTGATAAGTGAATGCGTTGTGATCCCGCTGCTCTTTTGTCATTTTGGAATTTTTTCTGATGGTGAGCCCCAAATTACATTAGCTAATAGGTTAGCTTAATTCAAATGCAGTTGCCAAAAATTTTAGACTTAGGCTGGAAATTTCATCAAATGTTTATTGGTCATTAAATAAGCACAAGGAACCACGACAAGTATGTACAAAGAAACTGATGTTGAGTCAGTTCTTTTTTTGTTTTTGTTTTTCAAGGCTTCTAACTATAGCAAATTTAAGAATGTTTTTCAGCGGACTGTCAGAACTTGTCCTGCAGGCTTTTTGTTTTCTCCTTGTTTTTCTTTTTTTTCAGAGGGGCTACATTTTCCAAGGTGATGGCATCTTTAAGTTTAAGATGTATGCCACAAACAATCAGAAATATGTTTGTTGCAAATTAATTGTTTCTAGGAATTACAAAAACAAGTTATTACTTTTTCCTAGTTGCCTTGATTGATTTGTCAATAAATCAAACTTTCAAACTACAGTTAAAGCTTGACAAGGGCCACACTAGAAGCCACCTGTACTACATGCGTAGTCTGTTAGGAGTGTTAAGACAGCGCGCATGCGGGAGAGGCTTAATTTGACCAAACTGCGGCCAGTTTGTGTGTGTTGTAATCGTTCTAGTCTATATGTCTCAAAACATGAATGACCAATTAAACATTCGCAGCAGGACAAAGCAAAGAACCTTTTGTCCCATTTCTTGCCAGTAGGCAGCTTACCGTGCGAGACAAAATAAGATGGGTCTAAAATTTTGAATTATCTTTCAAGACACAAAAAATCCGTTGAATACCAACTTCAGGTAAGCAGTCTAAGTTTCTCTGTGTTCGTATCATGAAAACAAGCAGTATTTTAGAAATTCATGTAGCTGAGCATCAATTACGAAAAGTATGTTGACAATTTTTGACTCTAAAAATTTCTGTCCCGACTATGACATGAAATTTAGGTCTCTTTCAAGTCAGTGAGGGACATTAGAGAAGCGAAGTCGCAAACTTTAATGACTGAATCTGTAGATTCCGTGAAATTACTGCTGTAAATCTTTATGTTATGCCTCGTGCAACTTTTGAGAACTTTTCTAGAAGGAGTAAGAAGTAAATTTGAAATGATGAGTATACAGCCCCGGGGAAAAATTGGGACAACAAATTTCTTGGTCAAGAGACTCGGTCGAACTGAACATGAATAACTGAATTACTATGATATTGGAATTATGACTTTACCAAACAAACTTCAACTAAACGGCAAAAGTTCACTGTCGACCTATTGATGATCGTCCTGATGGCTGAGTATGTCCTGACGTTTCAAGAAAACAGATTGTGTAAGGTGATTTTTGCAGACATTAAACCGCAATTCAAAGATTGCCAAACAAATGTTTACATGCGGGAATGAATTCCCTATTAGTCTTTTTCGTAATCCCACACTAAAAGTAAAAAAATTCTACCACGACATATTGCAGTATGTTAAAGAGCCACTACAGAAAACAGCATAACCTTAAGTACACAGAGAGAGGGATTCTCGATCATACGGCCGGATTTTTAATAGTTTATTTCCTTTAAAATGAATAGTCAAGAGAAAGTTATTTAGTACACAACGCTTGACAATGAATTACCTAAGTCTGTTTGGTTTGCATGTCCCGGCACGATTTTCCGCACCTACTTTTATTCCGAAAATTATTCTGTATTTTATCAGTTCAATAGGATTTTTTTTTCGATCAATCTGCTTGTTTATGAAAGACATTACGAAATCTCGCAATGTAAATTTTGTAAACTATGATCATAATCAGCTCGCGGGGGTGCCACATGAGAAATGTTTTCACATTTTAATCTTTAGAACACTCGCATCTGCTTTTAATTTGCTTCTAAGGGTGTGCAACGGATTTTTACCTCGAGATATTTCGCGGAGTTATCTGAAATTCATATTAGGTTTTGTACTTAGTAAATTTTAATCGACAGCACTCAAGAGGGTTTCTAGAAAAGCTTTAAATTATTCAACCATTAGTTTGTATATCAGCTTAACCGTTGCTCTGAATGACTGTGAGAACAAAGAATTTAACTCGACCTCAGCATTTTTTTATTTGGTCTTTTGGTAGAACGGGAGTCAGAATGACTGCGCAGTCGATGTTAGGCGTTTTAACTGTTAAATACCTTGCAGGCTTTGATAAATATAGGCAGGAAGATGAGGGCATAGTCCACTCAAGCTTGACACATTGAATGATTTTCTTTTAGTCTTTCCCAATAACTAATTGAAAATCTTCCAACGAGGTCATCATACTGCTCCCGGAATTGTAATCGGGAATATTCCTTTTTGAAGAAGCCTTTTTCATCCAATTTCATTTTTAACTTCAAAAGCTAAACTGTCGGTGGCTTCTGTTCTCTTCTGCTAGAGCCAAAGCTTTCTTTATCCAGTGGACGAATGACTTCGTTTGAGTTTCAAGTTATTCCTTGCATGACAAGATGCGGCTATGACAAAACTCAATCAACAAATGCTAACATTAATCACGTACTTGTTAACGTTAACATGCTGTAGTTTAAAATTTGCCTTTTTCACTTTCTTGATATTGGAATTATGACTTTACCAAACAAACTTTAGCAAAAGGGCAAAAGTTATCTATCGACCTTTGGTTGATCATCCTGATGGCTGAGTATGTCCTGACGTTTCAAGAAACCAGATTGAGAACAATGATTTTTGCAGACATTAAACCGCAATTCAAAGATTGCCAAACAAATGTTTACTCGCGGGAATGAATTCCCTATTAGTCTTTTTCGTAATTAAAATTGAAAATTTTCATTACACGTACGAGACCAAACAGGTGTGAGTAAACAATAGCCTCCATTTGGCGTGAAAAGATAAGAACAGAATATTTCAAGAGCGATGCTCGAGGAAAAATGTGACCATTCTAAAGACTCGGAAGTTTGTTAAGGCTTGGAGGGTGAATGTTGGCGAAGTTAGTGGGATTTTTGTCACAATTGAAAGTTTTGCAGCCTATTTCTTCTCTTACGGTATATGCAGGATTCTTTTTTTCAATTTTTTCTTCTCTTCCTTTACTTTTCCGCCCCACATCTTTAACGTCATATGGTACTTGTTCTTGCAGACGTCACAGCAATAATGCTAGCAATGGTCAGTGGACAGATTTCAGTTTTTGTCGTGCTTGTCATGATTCAAATGTTCCACAGTATTACCAGCAAGCAGTGTAGAGCAAGCATTCACTCCATTTTCCAAATGATGCT